AACCCTCGCCGCTGGCATCAACCTTCCCCCACGCAGGTTTGTCTAGGCCTATACATCTGAAAGCACAAGTGGTCAAATCAAATCTGTTTAAGTATTGAAAGGGGTTTCTTAATCATGTGCATGTGCTACTTCTCAGGGTGATTCTGCGGTCCCCATATGTAGCTGCAGAGTTTTTAAAGAGAAGTCAGTACAAAAAGATGGTGGGTAGAGCAGGATGAGCAGGTATTGATGCCATGGGTGAGAGTATCCTGATCCTGCAGGACAAAGATATAAACATGGTAAAGAACACAGATTTTTAAATATCATATCATATATCATATAATATCATATGAGGCATGAATATAATTTCACATATATGTAAACATATAATTAAACGCAACATGAGCTTTATGTTATGCATTTTAAAAATATATTTTAAAAATATATTTCAATATATTTAACAGTGTTTCACATATATGTGAATATATTACCTTTCTGTATGGGAAAACATTGGGATTTTACTCAAAATATTTGAAATGGATTTTAAATGTGGGTCAAGATTGGTTATACTTATGTGGCCCACATATCTATATTTGACATCTGGGCCAAATACTACATTTGACATCTGGCCCATGTCTTGTGTGCCGTCTTAAACCCGGTACCATCTCTGCCAAACCCGGGCCATGTTTGGCCCACATGCTGTATGCCAGTGCCGGATGAATGCCAGTTGTGCCAGATGCATGCCAAATCTGGGCCAAATTTGTTTGCTGACTGGGTATATATATATATATATATATATATATATGTATGTGTGTGTGTGTGTGTGTGTGTTTTGAGAACATTTTGTTTTATAACAAATTATTTATATTATAACAATATAAAGTGAATATTTGTTACTTTATTGCACATTTACATAAAATCTTAAATGTTTGTTGGGTGCTCGAGGCGCCAAAATACAATTCGTTCGCAACAAATCTAAACAGATTGCTCACAAAATTATCATAATTTTAAAACGCCACAAGCAGTAGTGGAGGAGCAGCAGGGGCTGCATAGGTGGCAGACCATAGCAGGCACATAATTGGCTGTCTCTAAAGGGCATGACTGTGACAGCTGCTTCAGCCTGACATATTTCACAGTGACCTCTCCAGAACCTTTAGAGCATTGTTACCTGGACATCACACCTGTGTCATGGGTCTTCAATATTACTCATCTCTTCCTTTTTAAAGGGGTCATGAACATCCTTTATTATTTTGTATTGTGCTCTGAGGTCCACTTATAACGTTATCAAGATTTTTACATAAAAAAACATCATAATTTACAAGTAATAGGCTATTTTCTGTCCTGTTTTGATCCCCCTCATCAGAACGCTCTGTTTGAATAGACGTGGCGGATTGTAGACTCTGAAGTAAACGCCCACTGCTATGATTGGCTAACAGTTGTGTATGTTTGACAGGCTACATCCTTGGCCGCTGCTGTGATTTAGGTTAAAAATGCATAAATACTCAGTACATATCAAATGATCTGTAATAACAGACAAAGCAATAGTGACCATGTAATAAAAAGAGTTGCTCAGACTTGTGTGTTGCGACATCGGATCCAATATAGTCGCCACAGCATCGTCTTTTGGTTTCAGTCTTTCTGAAAATCCTGCGTTGAATTGTGCTTTGTTTGCAGACAAATCCATGATATGAAGTGAACAAAGGACCAAGTTCTTACTGACACGGTCTGGATCTTCATTAAAAATTAAGTTCATCCACTCTTTCCTAACGTTGCGATCAGAAGGAAGGTGATGCAAAGACTGTGTTTTTCCACAACTTAGCACTGTACAGCGTCTTGTTGTCTTCGGAGCCATCTTTATCGTTTGATTTCTGCATAGAATCTGCGACCTGCGTTTGCCTCTCTCGTTATTTACACTGCATGCACAAATCGTGGGAGGGGCTAAGCAGGCAGTGATGTAGAAGCAGGCGTTGATCTTCTGCAGAGGCGGGGTTTAGCCACACTGTTATGTCATATAGTGGTACATTCCACAACCAGTCGTTTTGGCAGTTTGGCTTCAATTTAAGCTGTTTTTAAACTAACGAGAA